AAAGGCCATTACCAGGCATGCCATCAGGAAGTTACAGAATGGCTGCCCACGCCAACATCCTGCACGTCGTTCTGAGAAGGTAGTACCACCACTCGTGGATCCTTGCCCATGCCAATCTTCGATAAATCTGTTATGTCTAACACCGCTGATGTTTTCTGCGGTTTGGCCACGAATTTCGCAAATTCTGCAGGAAAAAAAATCAAACATTAGAAGTTATATATAGGTGAATTGCAAAATTTGTTCTGCTTGTAAGTTATTACTCAAGTATCAAATGTTGCGTTGAGATACAAGCAATTCAAATACGGTAGAACGGTTGCTTCTTACTTATACGTAGACCAAATAAAAACCAGTGTTTCATGCTTATTAAGCAAACAAAATTTGTGAAAACCTTAGAAATGTCTACCCTTGCCTATGTCGGATACACCTGTATTTAACACTCACAAGTCACACCCAAGCCTGAGTTTTACGAGTCAAATAATAATAATTCCAAACATAACTATAGCAAAGAAAAAATAAAACCAGACCCTACATATACCATGAACACCTAACACAAAACGGCACGGTACTTATTGCAAAGCATTAAGCAGAAAGACAGTGCATATTTTCCGCAATGAGGCCTGAGTCAGATCCTACAACTTCATTACCAGAGAACGAACATTACCTGTTTCCTTTCAGATTAAAACATGCCTCTGCACAATGACTATGTGCACTTCCTAGCTTGTCTTTGCACCCACAATTAGATCCGTAGCAGTTTTTTTAGTTGATGTACTATCAGCAGATTCAAGTAATTGCTCAGAATTCAAATGGCAAATTCTACAAACTCTTTCCCCATCACAACTCTCACTAAACTGTCTTTGGCCACCACCACTTCACATGAATCACACATGATTCATCTGCTTCAGCAACTTTTGACTTCTGTCCTTTTGCCGATATTTTACTTGAACTGAGTCCATTGTTTTCCACTTCGAATTTCCCGTTACCTCCTTCCACACATGCTGCCTCTTGGGTTAATCACAACAGTGGTGTCGAACACAAATCCACCAACTGAATTATTCAAACTCTCACTATCTGCTTGATAAACTATATCCATTGTTTCAACAACTCCTACGTCTCCTCGTTAATCGATTCCCTGCTTGCTTCAACCAACCCCTCACTTGATGCCACTACATTGCTTTTCTCCCCCAAATCCTTTTCCTCATTCTTAAGCACATTTCCATCAACTAAACTACTCAAATTCCCACCACTCCGAAAATCCATCTCATGATTCTTACAGGACCCAAAGCCATCATTTTGCAATCTAAAATCCGCATTTTCTCCATCAAAACAGATTTTTTCTTCAGAATTTTTCACAACGACAGTTTCAGACACAACTCCATTAACATCTTCCCCAAGTTTACTCAAATTCTCACTAGTCCCTATGCAATCACCCCTATTCTCTTGATCCATTAATCTCAGCTAACTACACCTTCTCCAAAATAATCAAAAACAAAGGCAATAAGCATGCATACTAGCAATCATATAATGTAAAAGAGCCAACATTTTCTCCATCTTAAAACCAAATTCAGAGCTTATTAATTAACTCAAAGTAATAAAAATCGAACCTTTGTTAACTTCCAAAACAACCCAGAATCAGATCCTTACCTACTTCTTTTGATCACTTCGGTTCCAAGCAAAATTAACAAACAAACAAACAAACAATTGGCCCCAAAAAGAGAAGGGTTTTTGTTCACATTGATATGCCGAAACCCAAGAATTGTAATGGAGAAAGATTATAGCAAAATGGGTTCAATTGGTATAACAGAATCAGACACTTTCTCCATTAAAATACAAATAAATTGTGAGAATTTATACATAGATATATGGGCTTAAATAGGGCGAAAGAGGTTAGGTGAAGAAAGGAACTTGAAAATAAAAATGTATAAGAATGAAAATGGGTTGAGTGAAGATTACCTGGCTAAATATTGACTAGAATTAGTAAAAATGATAATAATTTGAGGTGAAAAAGGAATGTTTTTAGGAAGAATTTTCATTTTTGGTTTCAGATAAGTAAACCTTATCTTGATGGGTTAGGCAAAAATTTGGGAATGTTGATTTTGTATGCATAAATTACTGTGTAATTTTATGATATATTTTTTGTTTTAATTTTAAATATATATATATATATATTATAAATAATATTATTCTAATTAACGTCATTTAAAAAAGTATTTTTTTAGTAAAAAGTATGATTAGAATCATGCAAGAGAGATTAATGCATGTACTAATTTTCAAACATTTTTAATCTAGTCATAGGAAAAGGGTACATATACTAATTTACAAACCAATCAAACAATAAAACAACCAGCCTTCGTTGACTAAACATGATGATCCATACCCAATCTGTCAACTTGAAGGATGTTGGCAATTGAGGACGGCGAGAAAAGCATAAGCACCGGCTCCATTGTATCAAATGAAGTACTTTTAGTTAAGGCATCCGTAACCTCATTTCCAGAGCGAAGAACATGTTGGATTTGAACACCTCAATCCCGATTCCTTAATTTATTGAGATCACCACCTAAGGGTTGAGTTCCATTGTAGTCCGATCTAAGGATTTTTAATGTAATCGAGCTATCAAGTTCAAGAATTATCGAAATCCGGCGACCCAAGCAAAACGGAGACCCATATATTTAGAAAAAGTACATTGTCCATTCTTTCAATTCAATTTTAATTAATTATTTTTATAGATATTAGTTTAATTCTTATAAAAAATGTATTATTGCTAACTGGGAAAAAAAAACTCAAATTCTAATTTATTCTTCTTAGTTAAATGGTCCACTAATGGTAGTTAACAATACATGGCTATAGTTTTAAAATAAATTATCTATTTAATCATTAAGTTAATTTTGTTATGATTACTGAACAAAAATATATATAAATTAACTCACCAAACATTAACATTGGGAAGACACTGAATTTCAAACATTAACCATTTCTAGAGTATAGACAGTACAGTCGTAACATGGTTTAATTATGGGGGCATATTGAGTATCATATAGGAGATTTCCCATGTACAAATTGATGGGGGGAAGCTTATAGTTTGTGTTACGGAGGTCAGGAAAGCTGGATTGCTCGGATGACGAAGGATGATCCTTCATGAATGTCGCTCTGATTCGGGGCGAAGTTATATGCTCTGCTTTCGCAATGGTTTGTACTACCGACACAACAAGACCTTCAAGACTTGAGGCATGTTGGGGCGAAGGTGTCGCTGTGATCGCCAACTCTGTTATTGTTTCCAGCTCTGTTATCAAAACATCCTTTCAAGTCCCTATCCACTGCCACTTCAAGTCATGCAATGCTATCAACCATGAAGTATATGCTAGGTGTTCTTATAACAAAGCATACATCGGTTTAAGCAAAGCACCAATGCAATCATAATCTTAAACATCTCTGCAACTATGTTCAGACAAAGAATGCTAAACGAAGTCGTTTCCTGATATACTACACAATGAAAAACAACACGGATCTCCAAGTGATTGAAGCCGTTTATTTGATTATTGATCAGATATCAACGGTCCGTAAATGGTTGAAATGTTTCTTTGAGCATACGTTATTATAAAATAATTCCCAAACTTATTATACATGTGAGTGGTCGAGACTGGCGCGAATTTCATCTTGCGGGAAGTTTTTGTATTTCTTCATGGTGGTTCTCGGTTCCAACGGCACCGTTTCATTTCACTCAACATATTCTTCAGTAATAAACGAATTAATTACAACAAGCATCCTCAAACCATGACTCAAATTTTAAATTAATCTCAAAACTTTCAATACATTACTAATTACCAATTAAGTCATTTTCATTAATTAAGTAATAGTTCAAACTTAACACAAATATATTTAAAACATATCAAAAATTTAACACATTTGTACTTATTACGTAATCTCTTAACCTCAATGGTATTTTTTCCTTTAACATATTAAATAGTACATGTATTTGTAGCAATAGAACTGCACATATTATTTATTCGGATTAAGATCAATTATATCAAACGTCTAAATTTAATTTTGAAAGACGTTTGCTACAGTTAACCCTAATCCGAATAAACAATAGGTACAGATTTTCAATAATACCAATACTATACTCAAAAGGGAGTGGAGGATTTGAAAAACAGATGTGAACGAGAGAATATGAAGCAAAAGGGATGAGAAAAATAGTGAAAGAAAAGGGTCTTAGTCAGGGAACATTGAAACAGGGAACCAGCTCAGCTCAGTCTCTTTTTGACGACCAAAAAGCAAAACAAACGTAATTATTAACGCATGGGTGGGACCCTCAAGTGCTAAACGCTAAAGACCAGCATCTACTTTTTTGACAAAATATACCACCATCATTCACCCTAAAACATCATTACAAGACTTTCCCTACTATGCCTCATAATGACACTCCAACTAAATAAACACCGAACTGCTCAGCCACAGTGATTTCAGCAGATTTCATTTAGATATGTCTGTTTTGGTTGAGTCACACCGAGTCATGTTTTGTTTCCACCATGGCAGCTTTTTCTTGCGCTTAGCAGCAATTGTGTGAGTACTAGAAAAGGAGGGTATATAACATCACAAACAAATAACAATACTACTGCAATTTCAAGTCTTCAAACAAACCCAAAAAACCAACTAGGGGTCATTCTATCAGAGCTTACAACAGATACACTTGAAACTCTTTCCTTCATAAACAGCTTTTCTGGTTTCGTCCAACCCTAACCTTAAAAGTCTTATATTTTACCATCAAGCATGTTTACATGTACATACCAAAGGCGTCATTTTGCCAAAAGAAAGTGAACTCATAAAGGAGCGGGAGAGGGAGAATTCTAAGTAGAAATATAAAGAGAAGGCAGCCATTCAGTGGCCAGAGACTGTACGCGTCGCGGAAGAGTAGAAAATGATGCAGGGAGGGAAGTCTCGATGGCTGTTATCCAAAGATACTAATCCCTCTGTGTCACGCATCAACTAGGAGATATCAAATCTTATTTAATCACGTTTGAAGTGTTATGTCCCAGCTGGATGCATGATATGTTGTAGCCCCATTCGCCGCTTCACGTGATCTGGAATCAACTTATTGATAAGCTCCGGTGAAGCTCCAGATAACTGAATCAAGAAGCACAAAAATGACTATCAGAGCATTAACTTGAACAAGAAAACAAAAACCTAACTATAAAATAATCCCATCTAAAATACTTAATGAAGATATAACTTTGAATAAATGGAAAGTACATCAAAGTGAAGTCTAGTTGAGAAACATACTTCCTGTTTGAAGTTAAAGAGTGGCGGTAATGGTCGCCCGTTTGGAAGGCGAGCATTAGCTTCTCGAAGTTCATCAAAGAAGGGATGTGCACACGCTTCAAGCTGTCAAAGCAAAGAGGAAAGAACATTTATCCAAATGGACAATTAGGGATATTTTCCATGTCTAAAATATCCCGCTGAGGGCAATTCATAACGGAGGTCTTCCACGGAAGCTATTCTCAACCTGACATTAGGGGCAACCTACTACCCTACCTCCCCTTATCCCATTACATATGGGAATAGGGTCAACTAATTATTATTATTATTTTTTCCATGTCTAAAATGAAAAATATAACCCATCAAAAACAGGGATAACACTAGCAACTCACCGCTGTACAGCGTAGACTTGGCGAGTATTGCAGTAGTCGTGAGGCAAGATCAATTGCTTCAGGAGGCATCCTTTTATGAAAAACCTAAATATGTAAAAGAGTTAAGTTAATGTAACTCAAAATCAATCAAATAATTTTGCCCCCAAAGACATTGGCAGTGAAACATCTAAGGGAAAAAATCAACAAACAATTCAGGAGCAAAATATCAAGAAGAGACTAAATGAAGTTTTGACAAGACGCCAATGAAACAAGTATCAAATTTGCATATCTAGAAAAGGGAAATAAAGGACAAACCTTATGCCATGGATGCGCTTTAATCTGTGGGAACCTAAAATCTGTGTAATTGGGATTCATGCAGCGAATTTCTTCCCTAGTGGGTGTACCTAGGACCTGTAGGAAAAGATGTAAGAAACAGACTCGGGACACAAAAATGCAAACTTCAACCATCCCCAAGCAAATCATACCTTAATAATCTCTACAAGCTGGTCCACAGCATTTTCTCCGGGAAACAATGGCTACACAGGAGAAAAATAGGTATCAGTGTTATTGCTACATATCAAAATAAGGAAAAAAAGAAAAGAAAAGCCAAATGTAACCTGGCCCAGCAAAAGTTCAGCAAGGACACAACCAGCTGACCAAATATCAATTGAGGTTGTGTATTCCGTAGCACCAAAGATAAGCTCTGGTGCACGATAGAAACGCGAACATATGTAAGAAATGTTAGCTTCACCTCTGACCTGATAGAAGTAAATTGGTAGAACTCGTAAGCATGAAAGTAATTATGGAGAAAAAAGAAAGAAAGAGAGGATCATTAACATGTTAATACTACTATTAGACCTAATCCAACTTCAGGGAGTACAGATATAATGTTTTTTGGCAAAAATCCACAAAAGTTCCAACCATTCTTTCCAGACAGCTAAATAAAGTGGCAAAGCTATCAAGGGAATACATCAGCATGCGAAACCAGCTTAAGAGCAATACATTGCACCCTTAAAAAATAGCATATAAATATATAATATTACATGAAGTGAATCCTTTTATAACTTACAACCCGAATCAAACATTCAAATAAAACATAACAAAAATCCTATGTTAGTTTTGGAAACTTACAGACTCAAAAACAATGTTTCACTCGGAGAAAAACTAATTGATTGGCAAGAAAGTCTGTCACAAATTAGAAAAGAATAATACTTTGGAAATTATAATAGAGAGAGTCAACTTACAAGAACTTTTGCACTTCCAAAATCACAAATCTTAACCTGATGAGTCAAAGGATCAACCTGTAGAAAGCCAAAAATTACCTCAAGAACATTGTCAAAACATTATTCTACAAAAATCATCAGTAAGAAAAGCATACCAAAAGATTTTGAGGCTTCAAATCACGATGGCAAACTCCAACAACACTATGGAGGTATGCAAGCCCCCTGAGTATCTGTAAAACCTCCGCTAATTAGCATAAAGCGAGAAAATTACACGAGAAATCAAGCACGGAAAAAAATACGCTGCTCACCTGGTACGTGTAAAGTTTCACATAGATAAGTGGCATTCTTTGATTTGCACTGCTGTAATGTTTCAAAACCCTATACATGCTCTCCGGTACATATTCCATAACCAAGTTAAGGAAGAGCTCATCCTTAGTTGTTGTGGAAAAGAAACAATGCTTCAAGGAAATCACATTCGGATGATCCAGCACACGCATCAATTGCAGTTCACGATTCTTGTATCTTCTGTCTTGCAAAACCTTCTTTATAGCCACGGTTTCTCCTGTTTCCAAGCATTTTGCCTTGAAAGAAAAAAAATATGCATCAGCATGTTAAACATCAACAAGAAAACATTGACTACTTTTAATACTATGTCTCACTACCTGGAAAACAATCCCGAACGATCCAGTCCCCACAACGCGCTCCGCCATATAACTAATAGTCTACAATATGCAAAACATAAAAAAAAATGAACTTCCAAGTAAAATAAGCTGATTACCAATCTTAAAGATCATTTTTAAGAGTGTATTAGTCAATAGCAAAGCAGAAATTGAACATATACGAGACCAGATAACCTGAAAAGGCATATACCTGTTTAGGTTCTCCATCTTTGCCTCCGATTGTAGTTGAAATGATGTGACCAGTAACAGGATCCTTCCCATCCACAACAGGGGCAGACATTTCCTGGTAAATTAAGAAATTCATGGTAAGTAAAAAAGAGGAGTTTAAAGCAACACAAATACCGGAAATCCAAATGAACCATTCCAAGTCCAAAAAGAAAAACAAAATCAAACCCATAAATTGGTTTAAGCTGCACATAAAGTATGATAAATCAATCAAATAATTCAGAAATGAAAATTGCAAAATGCAGAGAGGAGACCAAAGATCGAAACAAATACAGACCAAAATTTCATGCTCAATAGACGCTACAATAAATAAAAATAAAAAGATCAGTAAACTAAAAAATGTTTCGTTTAAAACCCATAGGAAAACAACCAGAGAAATAAATAAATAAATAAATATATAAACCCCATAAATCTCATAAAATCACGGAAGTTGAACCGTTTAGTTTAGGCTAAGCTTAGTCAAGTTTTTCAGCTGGAATTGCAGACCCACGACCAAAAAGGAAGAAGGGGAAGCTACGAAAAATCGCACCAAAATACGAACCCAAAATAAAAAGAAGGAAACCCAAGATTGACTTCCGAATTCCAATATCGGAACAAAAAAACTGGGGAAAAACTGGATTTACCTTATCATCGGCCATGAAGATCACCCAAGGAAAATAAACACAAAGATATAATCGGAGACAGTGTAACAGAAGATTCACAGAAGGAGAAAAAAAAAGAAACAAGGGGATGATGATGATGATGATGAAGAAGAAGAAGAAGGCGGAGAAGATTGGCGGACAACCCAGGGGAGAGAGATAAACTAATGCCCCATGTGATTCCACCAGCTCCTTTCTTTTAAACAAATTATTTTTCTTCTTTTCTTCTTTTCTTCTCTTCTCTTCTCTTCTCGGTCTTCCCTCTTTTCTTTCTTTCCCTCTGCTTTCCGTTTTCTTCGCTCCCTTTTTCTATTATAAACTTCCCAAATCACCCTTCGATAATATTCTTTATCCAATTTCACAAGCACTTTATTTATTAAATAGATTAATGTAAAAATAAGTATTTAAATTATATTTAAAATTAATTTGTGATGTATAAAATTTATTTTATTAAAAATATATGCTTAACATTTTTCGTTATATTTATAAGTGTTTATCGTTAAAAAAAATTCCTGGCATATGTCAATTTAGATTTCTTTAAATTTTTTAAATAATATATTTTAAAAAAATATATAATAAGACACATATCACTTAATATTTTTTTAATAATAAAGACTTAAAAGTGTGACGAATAAAATATTAAACACTTAACTTTAACAATAAAATCTTTAAACGCTATAATTTATTTTTAATATAGTTTGGATACTTATTTTACATTAAACCTTATTAAATTGTATATTATACTTTTCAATAAAAATATTTAATAAACAATTTATTACGAATAATTGTCACAATTATTTACTTATTTCATTCATTAAATTAGTTTTATTTAAAAGTAAATAATTAAAGGTTAGCTTTTACATATAAGTAGTTAGTGTTATTAAAAAATGAAAATATTTAAAATTATAATAAGGGTTTAGAATTATTATAGTAAACATTCTAGTAATATTGAAACTAATCATTTTAGATCATATAAGGACCATATGTGAAAAATGTTAAAACCCTAACTAAAATACAAAAAAAATAGACACGAATAAATCTGACTATATTGGCAAATAAACCACAAAACGAGATTAAGATATTGAAAGACCAATGAGAACTGCAAATTAGAGTCGAGCATCGTGAGAAACTATCCACGAACGTAAAAAAACGCATCTAAATTCAATCTGACAGCCTATAGTACGGAAGATCAACTGGATTACAAGTAAGTGTCATCTTGATTAATCATATTGTCGTTAAATCTTACCATAAGAAAATATAAATAAAAGAATGGTAAAACAATCGAGAAAGAAAACAAAAAATGTGTCACAAAGAAAAAAGAAAAGTGTGCCACAAATGGGTGTTTTTACTATCCGTGCCTTCGCGGGGTTCTGACCGAGCTAACGTCATGTATGGGAAGACGCATATCGTCATCCACGCCTTCGCTAAATCTCTAACATATACGGAATATGTGAATCATGAAGCGCGCCTTCCATGGGAAATGTTAGCATGACGTCACGTGAAAATGCACATTTCAAAGGGCATACATTCCAAAATTCACATCATCCCTCAAAGCATTTAAAAATATATATTTTAAAAAATTAAAATTATAGGAATTAACATCGTAATTTAATACATATTAATTTCATGAGTTGAAGATCTTAATGGAGTTAGCTTATATAGGCATACTAGAGTGTTTAAGTTATGTTTTTCTGACACTGTGAGATAAAAACTAAAACATGTATTATTTAACTTTTTATCTCTATATCTAATTAATCTACTTATACAATTTTTAATATAAAAAATATATTATATTTATAAACTTTAATAATAAATATTAACCTAATGTAATTTAATAATAGTGTATAAGTAGATTCACGTCTTCTCATACGTGGCGTCAGCTTGGACAAAATTCCATGAAGGCGCAGATGATGATTCGTGTTTTGTTAGAAAAGGTGCTAGATCAGTAATATTAGGAGAGATAGTGTCTGACATGTAATTAATGAGTTTGAGGATAATATTTCGATAAAAATACACCACAAATGCATAATTATTTTTATTAAAAAAACAAAAAATAAGAGAAAATAGAACGATTGAACAACAATCTACATCAAAAATGATATCATCATCGGCTAAATAAAATAAAAAATGATTAAATTTATAGAAAACCACTCGAACTTTAAAGAAAAAGGAGGGGACTAGTTCAAGAGTTAAATTCAATTGAAGGATACTTTTAATATTACTTATTATAAAATTCTTATATTTTTTCGATTGAAGATTATTGTAATTCTTGAAAAGATATGATTTTAAAGCTTCAAGATTTTTCCATGTAAAATTAATCTCTCATATGTTAAAAATATTTTGATGTTTCGATATAATAAATTAAATTAAAAGAATTTTAATTTTGAAAAAGATTTTTTTAAGCATATTCGATATATTAATCGAATATCAAAATATTACTCAAAGTATTTCAAAGTTTATTTTAAATCCTTACTAAAGTGTAAAATTAAGTTTTAATATTAAAATAATTTTAAAACAATTTTACAAAGTATTTCGAACCGTTTCAAAGCCAAAAATTACAGTTTGTCCAGAGGGAACCGATTCCCCCTGAATGGTTTGGCTCCGAGAAATTCCAGTATGCTCGGAGGGAACCGGTTCCCCCCAGGGGTATCGATTCCCCCCACTGTTCAACGGTCGAATATTTGAATTTTACACTTAGGGAACCGATTCCCCATGAGGGGGTACTGATTCCCCCCACGCTCCAAGCTATTTGTATTAATTGTTTTCATACTTAAACGGCTCCAATAACTTCATTAATGATCCCCCAACGTTCAGAAGTGATTCAAGGTGTATTTAAGCAAGCTTAGAAGCCATTGATCAAAAACAAGAAACATCAAGCAACTAGAATCAAGAGAGAATCAAAGAGAAAGTATCAAACCTCAAGTTTGAGCATTTCAAGCCTATTTTTCATTCAATATTCATTTTGCTTTCAAGAACACTTATTGTGCTCAATTGTATTTATTCTTGAGTGTTCTTTCTTTGTTCTTGAATTGTGCAAACATATTTGCCTTGTGAGGTTTTTCTTGTAAGTTTGCAAATTTGTAATCTTCTCTTTGAGAAAAGAGTGTTCTCAAGAATTGGGGTATATTCTTGAGGGAGTTGTAAGGTTATCTCTTTGGCCTCAATAGAAAGAACAAATTAGTGAATTTGTTGGAAAATCCTTAGTGTGGATAGCTAAGGTAGTGGACGTAGACTTTGGTTGATAAAGTCGAACCACTCTAAATCGATGTGCAATTACTTTCAATTTTCTGCAAAAGCTTCCACAAAATTTTAATTGTCAATTCACCCCCCTCTTGGCCGATTATGTCAATCGATTAACTCAACAATTGGCATCAGAGCCTAACTCATTTGAAGGTTTAATCGCCTCTTGAGTCGATTCGGGAAGAGTTACATCGATAATCAAAGTTATCAATGGCCTCTACTTCAAACTTCGACTCCGGTCTCGATTCGATGCCCGTCAACAAGCCTCATTTCTTCAATGGGGCTAACTATGCCTATTGGAAAAATAGGATGATGTACTTCATTCAAGCAAGTGACATGGGAGCATGGAATGTCGTAGAAGAATGATACATCAAGCCTCTCACTCATCCAAGATTGTGGAGTGAATGAGAGACAAAAATGTTCCAGCTCAACTCCAAAGCCATCCATATCATATTTTGTGCTCTTGGACCAGATGAATACGAAAGAGTTTCATCTTGTAAACCGCCAAAGAAATATGGGACAAACTTCAAGTCACTCATGAAGGTACCGATGAGGTAAAGAAATATAAAATTAGTATTCTAACGCATAGCTATGAAAATTTCAGGATGAAACCAAATGAAGATATCAAAGCTATGACGGATAGATTCTCAACGATTGTCAATGGTCTCAAATCATATGGAGAGATCATTTCAAATGAAAAGCTTGTGAGGAAGTTAGTTTACTCCCTTCCAAAATCATGGCAATCAAAGAAGACGACAATCATCGAGTCTAAGGACCTAATGTCCTTAAGTCTTGAAGAACTAATCGATTCCCTCCTCACTCATAAAATGATGCTTGAAGATGAGGTGGATCTCGATAAGATTGACGAGACACCAAAGGAGAAGGAGAAGAAGAAAAACATTGGAGTTGCTCTCAAATCCACAAAAGATGAGAGTGATTCGAATGAATATGACGATGATGAGGAAATAGCATTATTTGCCAAACGATTCAGAAAGTTGATGATGCCCAACCGAGAAAGAAAATTCAAACGTCATGAAGGCTTCAAAACTGAATCGAAGGAGAAATACCCGATCATTTGTTACGAATGCAAAAAGTCGGGGCATGTCAAATATGATTGCCCACAATTGAAGAAAAAGTGTCAATCCAAAAAGAAGCACAAGGCTCATGTGGCTATATGGAGCGATGAAGAAGGTTCCGATGAAGAGGAACAAGAACTTGTGCTTGATGGCTATCGGGGAAGATTCTAAGGTAACCTCTAACTCATTCGATTTGGATGAATTATCTTATGATGAGTTATTAGAGGATTATAATGGGTAGGCTTCGGATTATAAGACTCTATTTTCAAAATACAAAAATGATATTTCAAAATTGAAAAACGAAAATAGTCTTATATCCAAGACCAACAATGAGCTTGAAAGTAAGATCAAAGAATTGCAAATCAAAATTAATGATTTTGAAAAGAAAAATACTGATTTGTATAACTTACTTTCAAAAGTCCATGATGATCATCAAAAGAAGATTGATGATCTTAAAACTTCTTTTAATAAGGTTGGAACAAAAAGTTTTGAAAAAGGTGAGAATTCAAAATCCAACTTTGTTAAGAAAAGTTTTAGAAGCTACAATCATAGAAGTCCTCAACGAACCTTGAATGGTAACATTATTAGGAGTATATGGGTTCCTAAAGAATTCATTACTACTAAAGATAAGGATGTCCTTTATTAATGGATACCAAAGGGGACAAGGATTTTAGAAACTAATGAATATGGACCCAAAAGAATTTGGGTACCAAAAATTAGAAATTAATCTATGCTTGTAGGAAAAGAAGCATTGCTATAAGGCACAGGAAACAAATCCAAATTCATGGTACCTTGATAGTGGATGCTCGAGACACATGACCGGGGACAAAAATCGGTTCATAGAGCTTAACGCCAAAAATGGAGGAGAAGTGACTTTTGGGGATGATTCAAAAGGTCACATTAA